ATTAAACCACATTAATATCATCATTTCAAAGGAACTGTTCTAAAAAAAAAGAGAACTGTTGTAGGCATGGTAGCAGATGATGGAGAGAAAAGTGAATTCAATTCACTGCAAAAGAAAATTGATCCATTCAAAATTTCTTTATTGAATATTACCACATATCAAAAATTAAAATTAGTATAACACTGTATATTGCTACCAAATCCATTCTACAAGGTCCCAAGATTTAAAAAAGCTGATTAACACTATATATACTACAAATATGTAATGCAGTAAAAATTTATTTAAAAAGCATAAAGTCAATCCACATAGCATTTGAGAAGTTGACTATACAAACTACGAACCAAATACAGTACAATACTCTGAATAGTAATGAGCTGCTCACATAGACACAGTAGTATATTAACCATTATGGACAGCCTCCCCCGGCTCCACTAATAATAGAGGAAGTGGGGAAAAGAGAAAGAGGGTGAGAGGGAAATATCTTGGCTAGGATACTATCCATTAATACATTACCAGTGAGTTAATTCACTGACATACAAATGTGGTACAGTACAGTATTTCATTGTTGTGTTGGTGCTACCAGTGACCACCCTGGGTAAAGTACAAGGGTGAAAAAATCACTGGACGAGGTTGTATTTATTATGTGATGTGTGATGTATTGGACCACTGGCGAGATATTACTTTTACTGCATCATGACCATCCTTAGCCCAGAGACATTCTACTCACCTCCTTTCACTACAGTGCCTCGAGGCGTACTCAGAAACGCAAGGCAGGGGGAATCCCTTTTGCCACAATGCGAGCTACATGTTAAATAACTATGAGCAATAACACTGAAAATTCCATTATCAAACAGGGAGGTACTACCGCCTGGGAAGATTTTGGAAGCATAATGTGTTGTTTAATGGTAGACCCTGCTGCCATATGACATCACAAAAACTGTGACCAAGCCCCAGGTTGCTGATCTGACTGACTTTCTGCCAAATTTACACACAAATGAGGGGGGCTCAATGGTTTCTTGTACTTTGGCAATACAACATATACAGGTATATAGTTTTCACTCTTGATCTGTTTTATTTTTTCCATTTTGGTAAATTTTATGAGGCAGTTTGTTTCTTCTTTTGCTTTATCCCCCCTCCCCAGCCCCGATGTGGGTCGGTGACCTGTGCCCGGGTCGGCTAATCCTCATAAGAAACTTTCAAATTTGTCCTTATACCCCCAAATTAAAAGGAAACCTCCCCAACCAAAATGCATAAAGTTACAGACACGCTGGGGGGTCCAGGGGGCTCTGGTAATTTTTGGGGTTATTTGCGAGGGAAACATCACTGAAGAAAAGTGTTTTAGAATTGTCTAAACTACTAAGAACACAAGAATGGAGGAAACTGCAGCGGGCCTATTGGCCCATACTGGGCAGTCCCGTTTACATCCAACCCCTATTGCTCATATATCTAAACAACTTGTATTTGAAGCTACCGTTCGTGTTCGAGTTAATGATAATGTTTGGTAAATTGTTCCACTGTTATTTCTAGACCAGTGTTTACCTATCCCACTCCTAAATCTAAATGTGTCCAATTTAAAACCATTGCTACAAGTTCATTCCTGGTGGGATAATTTAAGTATCTTTGTTATATCAGCTTTGTTTAACCCCGACTTCCATTTATACACCTCTACCATATCGCCCCTCACTCTACGTCTCTGATGGGAGTGCAAGTTCAGATGCTTTGGTCTGTCCCTATAACTGAAGATTTCTTATGACTGGGATTAGTCTTGTCATCCTCCTCTGTATGCTTTCTAGGGATTCAATATTCATTCTGTAGTATGGTGACCAAAACTGAACTGCATATCGGTAATCCGAGTGAGGTCTAACAAGCGCAAAATATAGCTAGTCTTGTAACTAACACACTTTTGTATGAACCCAAGTACTTTGTTAGCCTTGTTTTGAGCAAATGCGCATTGTTGACTTTTGTTTAAGATTCCTACATATCATTACCCCGAAATTTTTATCTGTCGGATTTCTCTATATCAACGGTGTTCACCTGATATCTGTTTACATCTCCAAGTCTAAGTACTTTACACATGTCCACATGAAATTTCATCTGCCATTTTCCAGACCATGTACAAATTTTTTTTATATCTTCCTGTAGTTTTGCCGAGTCCTCATCAGATTTAATTACACACCCTATTTTAATGCCGTCAGCAAATTTATTACGCCTGAATCTATGTTGATTATGTACAGTATATAAATTGTAATGGCCCAAGTACTGTACTGAGCCTTGGGGTATTCCACTAGTGACGTTATCCCAATCGGATTTAGTGCCATTAACCATTAAGCCCCGGGTTAGGGTGCTGGTGGCAGTAACCCCCCCCCTCCCCGCAGAGTTAAATTGAAAAAAAATTCAACTTAAAAAAAGGGGAGGGGGGGGGGGGGGGAATAGGCGTACATTGTGGAACGTCACCAGGGGCCTAAAGGTTAATACTTACTTGCTGTTTTCTGTCCTATAACCACGCCCTAATCCAGCAAAGAACATCTCGAACTCCATGTGCCTCCACTTTACTCATTAGTTTTTCATGGGGGACCCTGTCGAAGGCTTTGCTAAAGTCAAGGTAAACCACATCATAATCGTGTCTGTCATCCACTGATTCGAAAACAGTTGAAAAGAATGATGAACAGATTTGTCAGACAAGAATGCTCACAGAGCAATTTGTTTCTCAAGGTGATTTTGAATTGAGTTTGAAATTATTGCTGCTAGTAATTTGCCTAAAATAGTACAGTATCCCCCTTCTTGAAAATTGTTATCACATTCGCTATCCTCTAGGATTCTGGTACTACACCAGTTTTTAATGACATGTTAAACACGTTTGCTACGGGCATACTGAGTTCTTCCTTACATTCTTTTAATACTCTGGTATATATCTCGTCAGGACCTGACGACTTATTAGGTGTTAGATTATCTACTGATATTTGTTTACTAACATCGTTACTAATCATTACTATCTCGCTTAATCTATTTTCTTCACTATCTTTGTAGATAGTCGGTACCTCGGGTATCATGTTTAAATTTTCAGTTACGAAAACTGATGAAAATTATCTGTTCAGATTATTGCTCATGTCTCCATCCTTATCAGTTAGTTCACCAGAATCTGACTGTATTGGTCCAAACTTGTCTTGAGTTTTAGCTCGATACATTTGAAAAAATCCCTTTGGGTTTGGCTTCACCTCCCTTGCTACCTTCAGTTCATTAATCCTCTTTGCTTTTCTTATCTCTGTCTTAACCCTACCAGCCAATACTTTATAATAATCACAGATGTAAACTTCAATCTTTAGTCTCCAACCTACACTGAATATTGAATGCAAACATAAAATTCCTAAAGTAAAACTTTACTGTAAATTTTGCTCAGAGAGATATCCCTCTTTAAATCCTTCCTGTGATTACCACTTCCCCACTTTTGCAGCCTCTTACTTTCTTTTACCCATCCATGTAGATATTCCATCACTACTGGCTTCTCCATGCATTTAATAACTTATTATCCCTTTGAATTTCCCTCAATACATTCCTCTCCTTTTTATAGTTATGATTAGGGTTCCATAAAAAAATATTTCATCATATGACTAGTGAAGATGCAAATACTGTACAGCCATGAGCAGATGGGAGTGTTTTGGGCAGGGGATACCCACCCTTAGCAACTGGGGTAATTATTGTATTTTCCAACAGTTAGAAAAATCACTCTCTTCAACCTACAACTATACAAATAAAAACCAATAATGCACCTTTTACTACATCCCAATACAAAACCCATTCCAAATCCAACACCAATTTTCAAATTTGACCTAGTACCCGTACACCTAGTAAATGATGAGGTGCATTCCTGAAAATGTTTGTTTACTGTACAGCAAATCTGCTTAGCATTGATAAATGGATCATAAACACTCGTATACGTAATTAATTTCATATTTGCAATTCCTGTCATTTTAATTATTTTCTGCTACTTCTCATTCCCATCTGGTCTAACCTCCTTTATATTCTGGTTACTTAATTACAGTATCATACATACGTACTGTTAATTTTCAATGTACAGTATGTGTATTTACTGTATGTTACCATTACAGTAACCCCGTGTTTTTCACATTTTTTTATCGCGGTTTTGACCATTCGCGTTTTTTACTAAAGAATTATATATATATGCAATATTCATCTGTATATACTGTATATATATACATATATATATATATATATATATATATATATATATATATATATATATATATATATATATATATATATATATATATATATATATATACTGATATATATACATATATATATATATATATATATATATATATATATATATATATATATATATATATAATATATATATATATATATATATATATATATATATATATATATATATATATATATATATATATATATATATATATATATATATATATAATATATATATATATATATATATATATATATATATATATATATATATATATATATATATATATATATATATATATATCAAAAAAAACCAAAATATATATATATATATATATATATATATATAATATATATAAAATATATATATATATATATATATATATATATATATATATATATATATATATATATATATATATATATATATATATATATATATATATATATATATATATATATATATTATATTATAATATATATATATATATATATATATATATATATATATATATATATATATATATATATATATATATATATATATATTTCATGTAGATCCACAATGAAAACGTGGATGTCTTGAATAAAGACGAAAGCTAAGGTGCTCCGTTGTTTCCCTTTTCCCGTGTGATTTTATCAAGATATATATATATATACAGGTATATATATTATATATAAAATGTCCTTTAAAAACAAAAATTTAAATTTCGCGCCATTTTCGATATTCCCCTGTGCGGTGCGGCAAACAGATGCCACCCTTTCCCGCCTCA